GACCAAGATACTCCATACTTAAATTTGTATATAGGAAAAATACACCAGTGGTCATAAATCTGATGCATAGCTGTAGATACTAATAACTATTCACGTCTCAAATATAAGGAGGTTTTTGCTCCTGTGCTTGTCAGTTTTCACAGCTTCAACAGTTATTTCCTTATTATGTAATTGCACAAGCTGGTGCTTCGAGAGAGCACCTTGTTTTCACATGAACTAAAGTCTGAGAAATCACTTACATGCACAATCCACTCTACAGCTGATTACTTCAAACTTTTCTTCATCAAGCAAAATAATTCTGATTTGTTGCAGTTAGTTTTTGTTATCTCCTTACTCTGAAAAGGATACATTGTCAAAGATTTAGTTAAGGTTAGTGAAAGACTGGTAATTCCTCATTTCTATTCTAAAGACTAATTCTAGCTAAATCTAATTAGGAAGACCTTTTAAGTAAATCTTAAATAAACCATCATAAAAGAAAAAAAAATCCTTTATACGTACCTCACTTCAATAAACTAGTGCAAGTTTACACATAGACAAGACCTCAGCAATTTAAGAAAGCTCTGAAATTAGTTTGGCTAATCAAAATTAAGCTACTAGCTTGCCATAGACACTTCAAGAAATACAGCTTGCTAGAAACAAGCTGGACCAGCCAGAACAGGTAAGTGTACTGGGAACAGAAAGGCATAAATGAAGACTGCTACAGAGACTTAATTGGAGAGAGGTTTGGGTTTGTTTTAAATAACCACGCCACCATTTAAGTACTCAGCCTTGAAAGTGGATGGCAATCTATACATGAGATCAAAAACCAATAAGGCAGCTTATAATGTTATCTCCCACACACAATCTCCATTTCTACACAAATAGTTGCAATTCAATATTAATAAGGTATCAAGCTGAGTTTTTTCTGAACTCTGAATCAGATAGTCTTGTCTTTAAAAGTTTCTAGTAACATTAAACTTTTTAATGAAGTTATTCAAAGGAATGCATTGAGAGATGAAGCAGCGTAAGGCAAAGCATTTCTTTTGTGGGAAGTCAGAGTTCAGCACGACTCATCATTAGCCATAAGGCACAGCATCCACCTTCTGGACCTGACAGATTCTCAGTCTGGGAAATCCATACTCCTAACTGGTACAGCTGGTTTGGGCTGCAGGTGCTCCTTCACAGGCAGGGAAGTACTGCTCAGGCTGCAGACACTTTCTGAACCAAATACCTCCCCACGCATCTACACAGAATAACAAGCGAGAAAAGAGATGGTATACCTGCAAACCTCACCCCTCCTCCTTCTCTTCTGCACAGCCCTATCACAGTTCTTTCTACGACGAAGGTGTATGTACAAATGAATCCCTCATTTTTCAGTTAAATCCTTCAAATTTTTGAACAATTTCCAAGACATTTAGTAACAAAATTGGAAGAACTATTCAGACTGACATTTTTGCCCTTTAAGTATAGATATTTCTTGAGCATGTTGCATCAAAAATAATAAAGATTCACAACATTCTCACGTCTGCATAGTGTTGAGAAGAATTTTAATTTTCTGAGTTTTTGGTATCACAGGGAACTTGTCTTTGATACAAGCTACCTTACTACACAGGAAAAAAAACGTAATTTACAGTGTTAAAATACAGCAAATTGGAGTGTTTGCCATTTGTGAATGAGACATTTAATATCACTAATACAAGCTTATCCGTGGTGGAAAAAAAAAACCAAAAACTGTTAGTGTAGTCTTCAAAATAGTTAACATGGGACTTAAGAGATTTTGAATTCATTTTTAGAATAAAAATCTGGCCTATTTTTTTTTTTAAAGATCTTAACTACATGTTAAGAAGATACCATCCTCATGCTTATCAAAATTTAACTATTTCTAAGTTAAATTCATTATTCAGGTGTCCTCAGACATTCATCCATCCAGTTTTATGCACACAAAACCATTAGTACCAACAAAGGCTGGGTTATTAAGCCTGGCTATATAGCATCTTTCTGCACTTGAAGCAAACAGAACTTGTAGAAATCGCAGACTTCAACACCTGACGGTGCTTTACTAATCCTATCATACTCTCCACTTTTTACCAAAAATTGATTAAAACCTCTTAAAACTTCACTTGTACCTTCTGTAAGCTTCAGCGATATTCTCAGTAATGCTCTCAGTATTGAGGTTAGAAGTGCTTTAAGACTTTTTCCTCTAGCCAGCTGCATTAACAAAACTATATTCCCCATTATTTTAGTCTACATTTAAACATGCAAGGAGTTACCTTGCCTCACTGGGAGTAAAAGGGAAAACAGTCACTGTTCAACTGCAGGTGTTAAAATAGTCTAGAATCCAATTTGTCTCTAAAATCCCAGAGACAAATTAAGTCTCCACACACCCCTATACAGTGCAGAAATTAAAGATTCAGTGAATTTCTGTACTGTCTCTGAACAATGAGCTAGAAAAGTTTCTGCATGATCCATTTACTATGACACAATACCTTCCAACAGGTTCAGACATTTAAATCACACTGAAGTTACTGCCATTTCAGAAACAAGACAACTGACGTATTTTTTAATTGCCCGCAAGTTCAGGAGGGAACTTTGGCACTACAAGCCTACCTTTTTGTCAGAGGACTACCACAGTTTTTGAGTCAAGTTATTATTTAAGACTCTCTATTGTCTGACAAGACAGGTCAGGTTCTATCATCTCAATAACCCTGTTAACAGCAAAGACGGTGGTGGCCTGGGCAGGGGGGACAAGATGACACTGCATCAGCTAGAACTCTACAATGCTCAGTATACAGTAAGCTACAAAAACATCTCAAGGACATCTCTTGGTAGTCTACATAGGAAAGTTTATCATTAGAATGATTTACACAAAAAAAGGCTTATTTCACTGAGATCAGTTTTTAAAATACTTACTGGTTTGTAATCTGTAGAACAGCACACCTATGGCTTCTAAAGTGACCAGAACATTGACTAACCATCCTTTAGGTTAGAAGACATTCTTCAGCCAAATGCTATCCAGAGAAATTATTCTACTCAGTGCTCCCTCGTAACTTGGCTCTTTGAGATCGCAGACTTGCATTAAGGATGGTTGTAATCCATGAACTTTAAACATGGATCAGTTAACCTCAACAGGAATGGAAATGTCTTGAAATCATTTAAGCATGCGTAAGAGGAGAAGAAGAAAGAGTAATAACATTAAGCAGGAGTCATCAATATCTAAGATGAAGACAAATTTAAGTCATTTAAGTATTTCCTCTCCTGTTCTGTACAATGTTTGACAGTGAAATCAAACTCACCCATTTTGCTGCCTTCATCACTTTGCCCCTGCAGGCTAAAAATGCATTCCCAGTAAGAGTTCTTTAAATAAAAAGCAAATCCTTTAAATGAAAATTTAAATTTATTATGAAATTTTTAAATGTCATTTCTATCAATTTAGACACACTGTTTGACATTATCAGATCAGAGAATTTACAGTGACTCACAGATAAAGATTTGGCTTTTACATTCAAATGTTAAGTACTTCAGAATAGTTTTCTCTTGTTATTTCCAAACCAGAAACACTAAAAAGCATTTTATTTTGCCTTTCAACCATCTTTGTTAATTAACACACTTTTGATATCTGCTGTACTTGAAGGGGAATGTGCACAAGACCAAAGTAATTCCTTCGGTCTTGAAGCGACTACCTTAATTACAGTTCCAGATTTAAGACTAGTCCATTTTAGCATCAAAAGGCAGTGCTAAGTAGAAAGACAAGATTTTTTTAAAAAATATTTTGTCCTCAGGTAGACTGCAGAGCCTGACCTACTTGGAAAGCCTCTTTACAAAGATAAAAAGGTCTTGCTAGCCAATGTTAACATCATACAGCCTTAAAGTTCAGCAAGTTTTGCCCAGTTTTCGTAATTATTTTGGAAACAATATTACAGAATTCCATTGCTATCCTAACACTATCCTTGTATTAGTGGTTAACAACGAAATTCAGTTCATCTATCAGACTCAAAAAATGTGTTGATTTTATTGCTTACTATAGCTTATTTTCCCACTCTCTAGCACTAACTTGAAACCATAGACAGAAAACATCTGCAGGGAAGAGATTTGATCAATTTGCCCATTCTGGCAAGGAAAGTGCCCCTCAATCGTGTGCCACGTAATTAGCTGTTCCAAAGTGAATGTCTGACCGCCACTCTCCAAGAAGGACAGCCTCCCACTGCGCATCTTAAAAGTTCAGACCCCCTCCAGTTCGTAAAAACAATGCAAGCTCCAAAGCCCTGAAAAAAGCTTATAGAGTACAACTTTTATGATATGCTGACACAAGGAATCTTATAGTAAGGTACTCAAACAGTTAAGATTCCTTTGTATACACCTTAGTATAACAGGTTGCTGCTGCCTTCAGTCAGCAAGTAGCACATCATGTAAGATCCAGGACCACAGCAACAACTTTGTGCTAGAGTCAAGCATTTGTAATATTAAGAAATTTGGGGTGGGGGGAGCAGAGATTTTGTTTCGTAAGAGGAAAATACTTCAAGTCTCACGTAATACATTTTCTCCTCCACCTTTACTTTCACTGTCTGATTGAATGTCGTTAATAGTGTGCCAGGAATACTCTATCGCCTGATTCCAGAAGTCTGCTGCATTTCAGGAATCATGGGCACATTCCCTGCTCAGGAACACACAGCAGAAAGTGTGAAACGTCTGTTATATTACAATTTTAGAAGCCATATAAGAAACACATATGTAATCTTAAACTTCCCTGTTGGTAAAGTCTGTTAATCTAGTTAATCCACAGGTATGATGATATGTATCTCAACACCCAATGAAACAAGTGTATTCATAAGCCTTTAAAGTATATAGAAAACTCAGTTCTGTCCTCTGATGCTGTTTTCAAGTTTGTTTTATTCACTCTTTTGGATGACTATAAATAAGTGTTTCCACTATGGAAAAGAAAGTTAGCACAGTACATTTTCATGACTGGGGAATGGATTTTCTGAAGACATCTTCAAAAGGGCAAAAGCTTAGAAAAAACAACCTGAATGTTGAATTCAGTTCCTTATAAAGTCCCTTGTAAAAATTAAAAAAAAAAAAAAAACAAACACACAAAAAAAAAAGAAAAAGAAAGAAAGAAAAAAGTAAAGGAAAAACTGCAAGGCCCAGGATGATTTATTGCTTTTCTTCATTTTTTTCCTTGGTCTCTTTCTTCTCAGATTCTTTGCTCTCTTCCTTTACGGAAAGCTCTTCTAGTTTTTCAGCAACTTTATCAGCGCTATCATTTTTGTCTGTGCCTGCTAAGAGATTGATTAGGAGAAAAGTTACATACAGGCAGTAATGGATTTTCCTGTTACAGGAAAAGAATAGAGAAGTGGAGAGTGAGGGGGGGTAGGAAGAAACAGCTGGTATTTAGAATAAGAACAAAAGTAAAGAAATTCTCCACTGAGCACTGGAGTGATTCAGTCTGTTTCTTTTCCTTTGGTAATTACGTCAGATGTCAGAATGCAATAAATACCACTTGCATATTTTAATCACTAAATGAAGGCCTAATCTTAGTGACTGAGAAACATGTAACACTTGGTCAGCTTTGCTGCTACCAGTAACAGATTCCATATGGTGTCCAGTCAAGTAAATGTCTCAAGTCCTTAGCTTCTTGCCCATCTTAAGCAAAAAAAAAAAAAATCAAAAGGCAAGTTCCCCTCTTTCAAACTGGGGAATAGGAAGTTCTTAAGATTGAAAAATTCTGATCTAAATATCTTGAAGAGTGTTGACTGCAGATCACTAGTAATCTGTACTCTAGAAAGATGGAATTGTTTATTTTACATGGCGATATATCTTGTCACATAAGCAATTCTACAAGGCGGTGCATTAATCTACTAAATACAGACTGATCTGTGAAGAAGTGCTACCACTTCATACACGTTAACTATAAAAATTAAGTATTCTACTTGCATGATTATGTATTTGTGGAATTTGGGAAGGGGAACTGGAAGGAGGAAATAGTGTGGTTGCGGTGTTCACAGTTCATTTGCGTACTATAAACCAGAAATGTTTCCTTAGTAGGCTTTCCAAAAAAGCAATGTCCCAACAGCACTTGTAACAGCCTTCTACAAGAAAGAAGGCAATTGTCACTCCTGTGAACTATTACTCTTGCAGACAGAAAAAGCACCTGAACTGAAGACTGCAGTTCAGTACAGAGTGAGTCTGCTAAAACACAATCATACTCCAGGGGGCTATAACCACTCAAACAGCTAGAAAAAGTGGCATGGAACTACACTTAGACTTTTAACCTTACCTTTCTTTGCTCTCTTGTCTACTTCATTCCTGCATTCTTCAAATTTTGCCTTGAATTTCTGTGCATCTGTTTCAGTAAAGGTAGAACATTTTTTCATTAGTTTTACCTCCTTGCAATATTGAATACTTCCAATCTTAAGGAAAGATACCTGAGAAGTTTTGTGTAAACAAAACTCGTAGGCATTTATGAAATAATCCAGCGTAAAATCATACAAGATGCTATGCAAAATTCTTGAATCATATCTTTGTGCAAAAGCAGTTTATCATCTTTAGCAAGTCTATTATAGCAGTTTATTTGGCAAAATATTTAAAACGTAATGCCAGAAGGAGCTGTTTTGTAGTTATTGCAACTCCCAGCTGTCCCTAGCCTACAGGAATAGAATATGATGTCAGAGACTGCTAATATGACTATCTGTGTGCAAGACTGAAGAGTAGCTTTGAACTACTATCCTTGTCAGCTACATTATAACCTAAAAGACCGCCACATCCTTACCATAACTTAGGGTTCTTAGCATCAAGAATGGAAGATAAAGCCTGTTTCATTAGTACAGCACTAAGATTCATTACCCAAAGGCCTGGACTCAAGCTATTCCTGATTACAATAGCTAAGGGGACATAAACTTCACTATCTTTTGGTCTAAGCCACCACTTGATTTAACCATCATTCCAAGCAGTTGATCAAGTTACAATAATGTTTCTACACAAGTAATACAAGCAACCAGACACAAAAGCGGATCAGGCAAGGTACTTTCTAACACCAGAACTATAAAGAAGGTAATTTGGTATGCCAACTTGGTCTGACTGACCACATGAGGTCACTGTTGCCCCAAAGGAATTCAGAAACCACTATGAAACTAGTCCAGGAAGTATTTGTATTGATTCCTTTTCAAGCATCTCAAAAACGAAAGATACTTGAAGGGCATACTGACAGGTCTGTTCACCTGTCATCTGCTTAGTCAGTACTGCAAAGCGTAAAAAGGCAAAGAGGACTACTCCCTCAAGGCAAAACACTCAATAAGCTGAACAACCTCTACCAGAAAGAGGGAAAGACTTTTCAAAGATGAGCAAATAGTTACCAAAACCCTTTAATTTCCTATTTGATTAAGAAAGAAGCAAGCACTAAGCAGATGGACCAGAAAGATTATTTTGGCTAAACAATATGATGTTGGAGACTTGAGGAAAAGAAAGCAAGCAACATACAAAGTTCTTCCCAGAGACAGGCAAATCCATCTAGTTTTAAAATATACAGCCACTTTATTAGCCATCTAGCATGTTGGGAGAAGAGGGGGCTAACACACTAAACTTGAGTGGCAAATGGTAAAGCAGGAAACGCCACAACGTTCTTCCTCTTTCATTTTCCTTCTTTTTTCAAGGAAAAACAACCCACTTCTTTGATTCAGTCCTAAGGAGTTGGGAAAGCTACACTGTCATTCAGCCCTACTAGCTGATCCACATGCAATTACAGACCTACTTTCTGTTCTGCTAATCAATGTAGTCGCTCCAGAAAAACCTGCCAACTAGTATCGCAGTTGAGATTGACTAGCACTTTTCACCATGTGTTCCATTTATTCAAAACAAAGAAGATACTACACACTTCCCTTTAAAAAAAAAGAATCTTACGTTCTGCTAGTGCAGATGGACCAGAAACTGCAGGTATTTCCTTGCTTCTAATGCAGAAATGTAATCTCAACTACAGCTGAGCACCTGAGATAAATGAAAGCAAGCTGCATGTATTAATCTCTACCCCATACTATTACTGCTTTTAGTTTTATTCTAATTGGTGTTAGACTTGCATGAATGGCTTCAGTCAAAAGAAGTGCCTAAGGCAGAATGCTCTATAAATATTGCTGGACACCTAATTATTACTCTGTTGTCAACACATATGGGCAAGTGATTAACTGACTTCTCTCAGTGAAAGCAATAATTAGCTAATACTACTGTGCAGTGGCAAGATATAGCATATCTTGCACCAGGGGAGGTTCAGGCTCAACATTAGAAAGAACTTCTTCACTGTTAGAGTTGTTAAGCATTGGAACGGGCTCCCCAGGGAGGTGGTGGAGTCACCATCCCTGGAGGTATTCAAAAAACATTTAGATGTGGCGCTTCAAGACACGGTTAAGCGGGCATGGTGGCATCAGGTATATGGTTGGACTTGATGATCTTTGAGGTCTTTTCCAACCATAATGATTCTATATCTACAACAGTGGTTTACAGCAGCACTTAGACATGTGGTGTAACATAACAGTATACAATAAAAATAAGTTCAGTGCCAGTCCACTCACTCTCTGCATTTAAAAATCGGATTGCCAGAAGTTCAGGCTTGGGGCTTTCATCTGCAAAGTCAGCATGTGTGTTCCAGACCCATGCCCTGTCGCTCCCAGCATTAGGCTTCAGCTCCATTAAGGGTGTGACTGAAAAGAAAGCATTAAAAGATGTACACAGCACAACAGTAAATGTTTCCCACACCAGCCTCCATAAATCTTACTGACAACCGACTGCAATGGTTATGTAAAGCACTTTAAACAGAATTACTTTTGGATAAATAGGAGACAATGGTGCCCACATATATTTTTCCTTACATCAAATAAAATGATGCAAGACCACTACTGTATAAAAGAATGCTAAATTCCCTATTGTTAAGAAACTCAGAGTTTGATTAAATTCTTGTTTAAAACAGATGACTCTGATACTAAGAGAGATGCAGCCACTAAGCACAACTCTGAAGAACAGTCAAATGGTTTAGGAGGAAAAGGCATCCAGACAATCAGCATTCATTCTTCTTTTGCACACTGAAAATACTACTTACTACAAAAATTATTTAAATAAAGCATTATTCCTACAATTAGTCATCAAATCAAGTTCATTTCTCTCCCATCAGTTTAAAGTTCTACTACAATGTATTATAAAATTCTGCAGTGCTGCAAGAGGTGCACAGTGTATTTTCAATCCATTTGTTCCTTCTCAGTAAATGGAGCCCTTTCCCTCCAAGACACTAATTACTTCACCTGACTGATTGGAGAAGTTGGAATGTTACTTCTCACACTACTGCCAAGACTTTTTAGATTACACACATGCAAAGTTTAAGCAGGGCTTTTTTTTCCTCCCTGAACCCTGGGTCCTCTGTTTAGTTCAGGAGAAATCTGACGAGTCTACTCACTTCCCTGCATTTTTTAAATTTAGAAATCAAATTACATTTTGGTTCATTTAATGTTTTGCAAAAATGAAGAGTCCTTTTGTCTGCCTGTGAGTCAGCATAAACTCAGTAAAGAAATCTATACTGAAAGCAGTTTTTCCAGGAAAAAAAAACCTTGACATGAACCCTATAAATTTATCAATTCTGTTTTGCATATGTGCAACATTTATTTTCCTAAACAAAAGGTTTATTCTTATGGATTGGCGACTATGCTGCTTTCATTATTTGCCACTTCATTTACTAAACGGGAACACCTGTGTCCTGTGAATAGTCTGACTTCCTGAAGAGATCTACCCAAAGAAAACAAGCATTACTGCTTCTGACTTCAGATTCATATTAAGCTGCTTGAAAGGAGTTATTTTAAGTTCTCTAAACTAGTTTAACTCCACAGAATACTATATACTCTTCATATAAAAACCTGAGTATTACCGAAGCAAGCAAGTAACAAAGCACAACCAAGTTAGTCTACTTGTTGCTAGTCATATTAACTTAAGTCTGTCTTGCCCTCTCATGTTTGTTTTTATTCAAAGAGGATCAAAGGAACAAACGTGTCCTGCTCCATCAGCTCTCAATACACATTCTCTTTGAATGAGTTAGCTGAATATACCATGTTCATTTCAGTTTCTTTCACAAGCAGAGAAAGGCAGCCACAGATTAGCACTTCAGTATCTGTTTTCTGATGGTTAAGCAATTGCTTCTACCAATTCAAACATTTAGCTCAGTGTAGTAGATTACATGATCGCTTATTTCTCATTCTTTTTATGAAAACAAGCCAGCATACATTAATTTCTTATCTGTAAACAGTACTGAGGCCTACATTTTCTACACTTTATTAATCATTAAAACACCACACACACATTGGGAGCAGTCACATAATGTCTGTCTACCCCAGCTAAATTTTGAAGTGTCTTTAGCACACTATCAGAGTCTGAAGAAAAATAAAACCAACTAAGACTCAGCCTTGCAGGCCGATGCTAAAACCAACTACAGCTTCCTTCCATTCATAAAAATAAGCACTCATTGTTTTTGAATGCTTGTAGCCTTGTGGGCAGAGCAAGAGACAACTATATATACAGTCTAATATAAATTCGCACCTGTTTAAAGACATACAGCAATTCTCTAGCTGCTACTGAAAAGTCACTGAGCTCTTAATCTACAGTGGACAACCCTCCAAGCTTATTTTTTAAAACAAATGTAAGAAGTATAGCAATGTATAACATACTATAATGGTTTGCACAGATTTTTAGGGTTTTATCCCTCCTCATGAGGAGGCGAATTGTTCCCTTCTCCTTGTGTTTCAGGAGTTTTACATCACCAGTTCCTCGTTCTTTCCATTCTGGAAGGTCATTCTCAGATGCAAATCGGAATAGCTTTGCTCGCCTTGAAGAAGAGAGAATTTAAGAAATTAGCCTGGACGTAGAAACGTTTACCCTGAAAACAGCATACTCGACTGAACAGTATAGTCGTTTTTTTAATAGCCACACACAAAAAAGAAAACAATTCCTTTTGTAAGGTTCCTCGCTCTACTTCAACATACAAATTTAGAAATTGGTATGATAAATTCAAATTTAATAACAAACTATTAGGAATTATGTAATAGCTATACTAAAATTCAACAGGTTCCGGACACACTTTTGGGGCATGATGAACATATTTCGTACAGGCAACCTTTTAAATTAAGATAGCTAATTAACAGGTTTTGCTATAGTTAGAGCTCTTGTACATATTATGAATACAACTGCTCCATCTAACCAGCAGTGTTTATTAATTCAAGAAATCGAGCAGCTTGAGGCTAAGTAAAGACTCTTGTATAATTCCAAGAGGAATGTTTGATCAACTGTTAACAAAATGCCGCACCCTCTAGAGTCACTCATTTCCTTTTAACTCCCAAAACCTAGTTGTTGCTGTTCTTAAATCAGGAATAAAAGAAGCTCAGTGCTGCACTGCTGTGCAACATACCTGCTTCAGAACATGACTGTTTAATCTTCCAAGATGCCAGCGTGCCCAAAGGAGAAACAGGAGTAGTTTGCGACATTAGTAAAAAATTGACCCAAGAGACAGTCTGAGCTCTGCTAGTGGGGAGTTTAAGACATTGCTATAGGAAAGGAAGCACCTGCTCACACTACAGAATATATATAAAAAGATACTAGTCTATAAAAGAGCAAGGGATAGGGACTTGTAATAAGCCTGGTCCTTCAAGAGGAGGTGTCAGATGTTGGAGCAAGCCACTCTAACGGATACTCTGATACAGCTGAACTACTGATAAAAAGATTTCCTCTTTCCATCTGATATTGCACATCACACATGCAGAGAGGCCTAATGGTCAGAGATCTCACCATGCTACTTGTCAAAAAATGATCAATGCTTTATTTTTTACCAGAATCTGTATAAGTAGAACTCAACTCTCTCTTCCAGATCAACAATACCCTTCTGTGATTAACTACAAGCAGTATTTTTTAAACTTATTTCAAAAAACACATCATGGATCAAATTCAAAACACTTCTTAAGCCTTTAGCCTACATGGTTCTTCAGGCAGATCATACATCTTAAGCAAGCTATCCTGATTTGACAATAGCCAAATCTAAGAATAAAACTATGTTTAAGACAACAGAAAGGTACTGCCACAAATGCCCCAATACTGTACTGCATCTCTTGCTTTTATTGTTTCAGTATATCATACGTGACCCTTTACAACTGGGGATGCATGGCAGCAACACTGTGTGTGTCTGACACCCAAAACCCCCCCAATGTGACACTGTGATCACAGAATTTCAAACCTTTAATTGTTATCCAAGTTAATGTTTTCTTTTTAGGTGAAAGAATACTAAAGCAATACTAAACAATACCAGATTTGTAATATCAGCTCCCTTCTATTGTTCCAGACTTCGGAGTTTCTTGGGTTATTATCATCAATCACCCCCCAACTCAATCTCTGCCTGCCATCACAGTAATAAATTAAATCTAATAAACATTTAGATAATAATTGTTATCCAAGTTAATGTTTTCTTTTTAGGTGAAAGAATACTAAAGCAATACTAAACAATACCAGATTTGTAATATCAGCTCCCTTCTATTGTTCCAGACTTCGGAGTTTCTTGGGTTATTATCATCAATCACCCCCCAACTCAATCTCTGCCTGCCATCACAGTAATAAATTAAATCTAATAAACATTTAGATAATGTACAGAAATATTCTACTTACATCTTAAAGAGTTCTTCCTCATCCTCTTCCAGAGTTTTTATTTCTTGCTCAGGAAGGGAAACTATGGGCTCAAACTGAGGATCATGGTTAGAATCATCTGCATTTTCAGTAGAAGTATCATGCTCCTCGTGTGTTTCCTGGACAGAAAGGGAAAAAAAAAAAAAAGAATAACCACAAAACTTGCTACGTACTTAAAATCTGAAGTACTTATACCTATGTTTAAAATGAAAGCATTTATGACCATTCAGCAATTAGATCTTAGTAACCGAAACACTCTGTAACAATAAAGAAAATTATAGTTGAAGACAAATGGCTTTAAAGTCAACATACAGTTATACTAACAACAAAAAAAAAAAAGGTGCTCTTGCAGTTCTAGGTGTTTTAGTCCAACCACTCTTACCAACTGTGCAGAGGCTTGGCCTTGGGGCAATAGCTCTTAGTTATGGAAAAATAATTTAACTATTTTTCCTATATAATATGGTTTATGCTACTAAAGCACTACTAATTCTTAATGGCTAATAACCTACCGTTAATGGGAAAAAAGAAAAAACCACAGCACCAAAGCAACCACCTAACCCAGCTTAAGGGACACATTACATCCAGAAGTTTATTATTCTAGTCTCATGCATTAGAATCACCCACCATCAAAGATACTTTTGAAGCACAGTTGCAACACTCATGAAATAATTTTAAGTTTTTTTTGTTTTAAGACTCTTTGGGGAACATTAGGTCATGGGTAAATGGCCAAAATACTACTTCCTATTTAGTTATTTATGAATCTGTCATAGCATTCATTAAGCTTAAGAATAGTAAGTAAAATACTTCATACACACGCATTGCTAAGAAGCATTCAGTAAAGAAGCCTAGAAGGGAGATTCATCTGCAAGTGTAATGAGGCCACAAACAACTATCTCAGGTCAAGGGAACTGATTTGTGGGTTTTTGTTATTGTTTGAATAACAGAAAGGAAAAACAGTCTCTAAATGGAAGACACTTAAATCTTATTTTCACTTTACAGATGAAAGAGTCCACTCTTACAGGCTCTATTTAGAATATCCTTTAGAGAGTAGGTACACATCACACATGCATAAAGGAACTGAAATGAAGCAGTCCATTTTTACTAAACAGTAAAAAAAAAAAAGGGGGGGCAAGGAGGCATTAGGTAAGAAACACTGCAAGACAAATTCTTGTTATGTCAACAACATCACACCAGCTATCATTAGTTTTGTGTCCCCAGTGTTCCAGTATGTAAGAAAAAAAGCAAGAAAGACATTAAATCACATCTGTTCTCAGAAACAGGAAAAGAAACATTGGTCAAACTTTTATACATTGTCTTCTCCAGAAGTAGCACATCCCATATCGTAATTCATCATCCGTTCTGCGCCTGACCAATTAATTACAGAAAGCATGAGAAATGAATGATTCACAATGGCCACATGTGAGAGAAAGTAGATCCCGTTATCACGATAAGATCCCGCCCTGCCGCGATATAAAGCACGTGGGGCTACACTCCTCTTGCCGTACCGCGGCACGAAGGGTTCAGTCAGCCGGGCTGGGGGGAGGGGCGGAAAAGAGGGAGGAGAAGAAAGGAGGGAAACGGGGA